TTACTGGACAGAGCAGGTGAGTAGAGGGTCTTTCTCTTTCTATCCCTTCTCTTCTCCCTTGCATCTTACCAGACAGTGTCATCATTTGAGGATACCTGTACTCTTATTTATATTTTTAAATTCATTCACTAGCTTTTCCAGCCAATCACAGTGTGCCCTCCCTCTTTTCTATTGTTCATTCATCTAACCTTCCTTCTTCCTTCCATCCACTTCTCCTGTCTCTTCAGAAAAGGGTAGGTTTTCCATGTATATCAGTCGGACATGGCACATCAAGTCACAGCAAGCCTATGTATCTCCTTCCTGTTAAAGCCTGATTGGCAACATAGTAGGAGGAAAGGGTTCCAATAGTAGGTAACAGAATGGGAGGCAGCCCCTGCTCCCATTGTTAGGAGTCCCACAAGAAGATCAAGTTATAGAACTGTCACATATATGCAGAGGGCCTAGATCAGCACCATGCAAGCTCTCTGGTTGTCATTTCAGGCTCTGCAAGCCTCTCTGAGTCCAGGTTGTTCATATCGTGGGCTTTCTCGTGGTGTCCTTTAGCCGTCTTACTCCCACAATTCTTCCTCCCCTTCTGCAACAGGATTCCCTCAGATCTGCCTAATGTTTTGTCTGTTTGTTGACAAATTTCTAAATGATCTTATTAAATAAAAAATGTGGAGCCAAATATAGGAGTGAAAGCCTTAGATCAGGGAAATAGTGAGAGCCACCAGCCAACCTTCCTCACCTACTCTGCAGCTTCCAAATGCTACAACTTCCTGTCTACCCAGGATTTTATTGCCTTGTTGTTCTGCCCTCTCATTGGCTATTTAGCCCAGATACCTCATTTCCTCTTCCTACACAGCTCTGTTACTTTCTGTCCATCTGCACAGACCTCCAGATCTCTATGGTTGGTACTGAAATTAAAGGTATGTGTCACCATGCTGGGCTCTCTTCCCTAGTGTGGTTTTGAACACACAGAAAATCTGCCTGCTAAGTGCCTCCACTGCTGGTGGGAATGCAAGCTTGTACAACCACTTTGGAAATCAATATGGCGCTTTCTTAGAAAATTGGGAAACAATCTCCCCCAAGATCCAGCTATACCACTCCTGGGCATATACCCAAGAAACGCTCAATCATACCACAAGAGCACTTGCTCAGCTATGTTCATATCAGCATTGTTTGTAATATCCAAAACCTGGAAACAACCTAGATGCCTTTCAACTGAAGAATGGATAAATAAATTGTGGCACATATACACAATGGAATACTACTCAGCAGAGAAAAACAATGACATCATGAGGTTTGCAGGAAAAAGAATGGATCTAGTAAAACTTTCCTCTTAACACTGCTTTTATTATGTCTCATAAGTTTGGTAGTATGTGTATTCATTTTCATTCATTCTAGGAAGTCTTTAATTCCTTTCTTCATTTATTCCTTGACTCAGTTGTGATTAGGCAGACAGTTATTCAGTTTCCATGACTTTGTAGGCTTTCTGTTGTTTTTGTTATTTTTGAAATACATCTTTAATTCATGGTGTTCTGAGAGGATGCAGGGGCTGACTTAAATTTTCCTGTATCTGTTGGGAGTTGCTTTGTGACTCACTATAAGGTTAATTTTGGAAAGATTTGATGGGAAGAAGGTATATTCTTTTGTGTTTGGGTGAAATGTTCTGTAGATATCTGTTAGACCCATTTGATTCATAAAGCCTGTTAGCACTATTATGTCTCTTTTTGTTTTGTCCTGATGACCTTTTCATCGGGGGTAGTGGGGTATTGAATTCTCCCATAATTAATGTGTGAGGTTCAATGTGCGATTCAAGCTTTCGGTATGTTTCTTTTACAAATGTAGATGCCCCTGTGTCTGGGGCATAGATGTGAGGAATTGCTATGTCTTCTCAATGGGTTTTTCCTTTAATGAGTTTGAAATATCCTTCCCTATCCCTTTTGATTTTTTTTGGGAAGAAGTCTATTTTGTTGGACATTAGAATAGCTACATCAGTTTGCTTCTTAGGTCCATTTGCTTGGAAACACTTTTTCATCCTTTTCCTCTTAGACAATGTCTATGTTTAGTGTTGAGGTGTATTCCCTGCATGCAGCAAAGGGATGGATTGTGTTTCCATATTCATTCTGCTAGTTTGTGTCTTTTTATTGGGGAATTGAGTTCCATTGCTACTGAGAGATATTAAGGACCACTGCTTGTTAATTCCTATTATTATGTTGTTGGTAGTGTGTGTGTGTGTGTGTGTGTGTGTGTGTGTGTGTGTGTTTCAGATCTCTGGGATTTGCTTATGTGTGTTTATTTATTGCCTGTGTTTTCATGGATATATTTCACCTCCCTGGGTTAGAATTTTCCTGCTTGTACCTTCTCTAGGTCTGTATTTGTGCATAGATATTGTTTACATTTGACTTTTAAATGAAATGTCTTGTTCCATCCATTTGTGGTGATTAAAATTTTTGCTGGGTATCATATTCTGTGCTTGCATCTCTGTTCTCTTACCGTCTATAAAGCACCAATCTAGGCCCTCCTGGCTTTTAAAGTGTCTATTAAGAAGTCATGTGTCATTCTAACAGTTCTGCCTTTATATGTTACTTGGCTTTTTTTTCTTTCCAGCTTTTAATAACCTGTCTTTTTTACTGTATATTTTGTGTTTTGATTATTATATGGTGTGGGAACTTTTTTTTTCTTTTCCTATCTATTTGGTGTTCTGTAAGCTCCTTGTTCCTCATAGGCATTTTGTCTTTAGGTTGGGAAAATTTTCTTCTATGATTTTGTTGAATATATTTTCTGCCCATTTGAGCTGGGGTTCTTCTTTTTCTTATATTCCTCTTATTCATAGATTTGGCTTTTTCATAATGTCCCAGATTTCCTGGATGTTTTCTGTTCAGAATATTTTAGAATTAACATTTTGTTGGACTGATTCATCTCTTCCCTCCAATATATCTTCTATGCTTGTGATTCTCTCTACTATCTCATATATTCTTCTGGTGATGTTTGCATCTGTAGTTCCTGTTCACTTACTCATATTTTCTATTTCCAAAGTCCTTCGTTTTATGTTTTCTTTACTGCTTCTATTTCCATTTTCATGTCTTGAAGAGATTCTTTCACCTGCCTTTTTTCTATTAGCTTTTTTGGCATTATTCATGAGATTTATTTATTTTTTCCTATGTTTTATTTTAGCCCACAACTTCAGAACAAACCTTCCTCTTACACAAGGCAAGGCTGGATCTAGGGACCCAGAGTAAGACACTACTCACTGCCAGCTAAGATTCCCTAAAGATGACCCAACAGCTCCCAACTGCACCCTCTACCCTGAGCTCCAAATTCAAGACCACAACTTTGTCAGATAATTTTTACTATACTAGAGACCACACTATACTAGGAATCCCAGAGACCAAGCAGTTCCCAAACACCTCAGTCAGGTAATTGTTAAATGCCAAGTACCTAAAGTAAACATTCTGTCTTTGTACAAACAGAATGTCATCTGGTACAAAGAAAGCTTTTATTTGCAGAAACAGAAAAAAAATTATTAAATTTATATAATACCAGGCAATGACAAAAATGATCGCTAAGTAGACTTTAACATTTGCAAATTCAATTTTGATATCTCATTATCTTTTTTTCCAGAGCTGAGGACTGAACCCAAGGGTTGAGCTTGCTAGGGAAGCGCTCTAACACAGAGCTAAATCCCCAACCCCGATATCTAGTTATCTTAATCACAGAAATTTTAAACTTTTAAACACATAGTTAGCCATCAATGTGACATTAGCCATCCCAATGTATTAAGAGATACTTATGGGAACATGGGTGACACAAAATTTGGTGCACCCTCAAAAGCCAATGTCAGTGTGGGTGAAGATAAAGAAAACCTGCATCCCTGCATATTGTGTAGCTTGGTTAACTGGAGGGTCTTCTCAGCTTTTGTTATTACTCATATGAAATTAGGGAGGACCCTTGTGAATTCCGTATGTTTCAGAATCTTTCTGAGCCTTTTGAAGTTTAGTTTAGTTTAGTTCTGGTGACTTAATTATTTCTCTTCCAAAAGGCAATGTTCCAATTCTGAGGAACTAACTTTTCAACAGGAATGTAATTGAAAAAGAAGAGTGCTTATTCAACCATACCTTAGAAAATGTTTCAATAATGGGGATGTATACATTGAAATATTAAAGAAATATGAGGCTGGTTCTGGTGAGAGAAGACATGACAAACAGCATTTGGGGTGCACAGTACAGCAAATGGTAAAACCCAATGTTAAGCGTAGGCTTTCAGAATGATAACTCTAACAGCAGAGTTAGGAAGACAAGATTGGGTTACTGAGTGTGAATATGATATATATGAAATTGTTTTGAAACCCATTATGTTGTATAACATGATTATATATTAGTAACATACACAAATAAAGAGATGAGCCTCTTGTTGATCTGCAATTGTGAGATACTCAACATGGTTACAGCTTCAAGTACATCAAGAACTTACAGCCAGTCAGGTTATAGAGGTCTGCCAGAGAGAAATTAAATAGAGACCCATGAACTAAGGAAAAGAGTTTGATTTCTGTTGAGTAGGTTGCAAGGACCATAACCTTTGTAAGTAAAGGAAAGCCACTTTCAGAATCATATTACAATGATGAAGCATGGTCCCTAAGTTAGAGACCTCTGTCTTCACATTCCAGCTCTTTTTTTCATTGCATCTATTGTTCTTTACTGGAGAAAGGGCTGTGGTCTTCCTCAGAACTTTCTTTGAGAACTCATGGGATGAACATCTTTCATCTCAGCTTAACATTTCCTGACTTCCATGTATAAACTGGGATCTGTGGAAAATTCCTTGGGAATCTGGGAATCGGGAATGGTCAATTTTTGTTTGAAGATCATCTGATCAAATGTTAAGTATGTCACCTCCTGCACTTCCTCTCTTTCAGGGTCCTAGAAAGAGGTAAACATTAAGTGATATTGTGTACACATAATCTTACACAGAATAAAGGTATATTAGACTGTATGGAAGAGAGAAGACTCAGGAGGACCTACCTGTCTGTTCAGTGTTGCTCTCACTTCAGAGCATTGATCCATGATGGCTGCATTTTAGAAGACAGAATTAATCAAACCTATGTAATAAAGTACTTCTGCACTCTCATTTCAAATGCAAGGTAATAGTGAGAGATATGGAAAAACCCAAGTTTGCTCACCCACTGCAAATTAGAACTAGATTTTCTACAACGCTGTACCCTAGAAATTCTTTCTTCAGCAAATACTCTCTGCCCTCTTCCTCCTTTCCTCCCTCCCTCCTTCTGTTCCTCCTTCTCTCCCTGCCTCCCAATCTGTCTCTCTCTGTCTCTGTCTCTCTCTGTCTGTCTGTCTGTCTCTGTCTGTCTCTGTCTCTCTCTCTCTTGTTAAACCTTCTCCTTGATATTAGTGCATGCTTTGGATGTGAAGATGCATTGAGGAATTATTCAGTAGTCTGAAAACTGTGGGGATGAGCAGGGGCTGTGGATTTTCTCTAGAAAGCTCTGTCTTAGTTTCCTTGTCTTGGTCAAAGTATTTTCCATAAATTAAGAAAACATACCTCTACTTCTCTGGTCTTGTTTTCTCACACTACTCAGATGACATTCACTGGCTTGGTCCAGAGACTTACTCTTTTTGGCAGAGCACCAAGAATAAAGCAGGATGATGAGGAAGGCAAGGATCATGGTAACTGAGAGTCCAATCAAAATATGCAGGTTCCTGAGGTTATCTGGAGGAAGATGTGAACCCAATAAGAGGTATATCTCAGTATCCTCATTTTGACAGATTACATAGTATTTATCGATTAATAGATAACTGATAAAATATTGCTTTAGGACAAGAGTCTTGATGGAGAACCCACTAATAATATCTGCTCAATGGAAACACTATTAAATGCACTTCTAATTAAATATTATTATACCCAGATATGACTATATTTCTCAATTCTCGTCAGAGGAATCTATATTTGGGTTAGATGGTGATTAATACAGATACCCACAACTGGGCAAGTTGTGGATATGAAGAGACTATAGAATTATGGCACTAAATGAGATGTTTACATCTCGAATCATTCTCCAAATGTTTAGCATCATTTTTAAAGATATGGAGGAAGAGATTGCAAAAAGAAGCTATGGATAACTATAAGAAAGCCGTCTTCTGTACACTGAGGGCAGGTGAAAAATGACCTTCACAGGAGGTTGAGATAGCATGCCTAAGTATGGTGCAAGTTCAAGCATGATCAAATCCCATCATGGAGAGTGGAGGTGGACATGAAGTCCCATCCCTAGTCAAGGGGCTATGGGCTATTGGTGACTGTTGGAGAATGAGTGTCAGTTTCAGGAGTGTTGTTACTAGTAAATTGACTATGCTCCAGCACAGGTCCACACATCCAGGAATATATTGGTGTTATGCAAGTGGCAGAAAACTGCAGGACACTTGGTTCAAATCATGCGTTCAGTAGCTCAATCTGAGATTGAGATCAGTGTTCATTAGATCTGCTTTGCTTCTGTAATACTCTGAACTAAACATTTAATTCTCTTTGGGGAAAAAAGTGAAGTCAAGTCTAATCTGTCAGAAGTAGTATTTTTATATAAAATCTTCCCTTTTGCTAACTTGTTTCCTTCTTCAGGCCCCATCACCTATCCAGGAAAAACAGAGCTAGAATGAGCACTTCATTGAACCTGGAAAGGGAGTAAAACTTACTCTTCTTTTCACTCACCAAGGTCTCAGGTACAGAAATTAGAGATGAATAGTCCATATATTTCCCATGCTGTTCCTAAACAACTTCTAATTTTGAAGAGTTCAAGAATCATAGAGGGGAGATGATGATGATAAGACAGAGTAAGGAAGGAGCGGAGACAAAATAAGCCAAAAAGCTTTGGGTCTCTAAGTTTTCACAATAGAGAAGAGGAATCAATTACTCACTGGTTGTGAAGTCTGCTTCTGTGCAAGAAGTGCAGTTTCTTGTTGAGTTAACTAGAGAAGGGGACAGGAGAGGGAGAAAGTTCATCAGAGGCTGTCTGCCTTCCCCTTAAGGAAAGTTTTTTAAATTTGGACAGTGACCACCACCCACTCCACCTCTTAGTGGTGAGCCTGTAGAGTTATAGGATGACATTTAGTGGATTGCTTCTGGGTGTTGGCTCTCTCATCTGATTTCAAGTTTTGATGATTCATAGGACTGCTGTGGGAAGATCTATGTGAGCAAGACTTCAGGAGGGCTGCTCCATCTCTGCTCTGCCCAAACTGATATGAACCTCATCCCTAATGAGTCTGGCCAGACCCATTTATATATCTGCCTCTATATATATACATCCCAGTGTGGATGCAAAGTCATATAAGGAGTTTTGAGGAGACTCCCTCTCTGTTATTTTGTATTCTGTTTTCAAGTCCCAAATTCCATGTTTTTTTTTACAAAAAGTTTTCAGTTGAAATATAATTATTTCCCTTTCCCCTCCCTTTCCTCTCTCTAGTTCCTCCCAGCAACCCTTCCTCCAAGCTTTCTCATATTCCCACACCACTCTTAAATTGATAGCCTCTTTTTCATTGAAAATTATTGTTACATATATGGCTAAACCTATGCATATTCACACATATATGTACACATGTCATATATACACATACACACACATATATATATATATACATGTACATATATACACATCACATATGTATACACACATATATAAATGTAACACACACACACACACACATATATATATATGTTTAATTCCATACACGTGACATTAGGACTCACAACAGTGCTTTGGAGCTCCCAATGCTATTTTCTCTCTATCATCAATTGGAGGATTCTGAGACATGGCTTCAGTATTTCATCAGTCACAAGATATGAGGTATATATGAATTTCTCTTACCTGTGACTAGAATGTACAAGGGGTCACTTGGGGTTGACCACAGATGGGAAGAGTTCCTGAAAGAGCCATAGCATCTATAGTTTCCTGCCTGGACCACAGGACCAAGATGGAAGCTGGCCTGGAAGGTCCCACTGTGGTTCTGCACTGAAGGCAGCCCATGTAGCTTGGGTACCCCTGTCCTGGACAAATGGAACATGTCAAACTGAAGGTCAGAGAAACAGGTCAAGGTCATGTTTTCTCCTGACATCACCACAGGACCCATCAGGGCTGACAGAAAAGGTTTCTTGTATAAACCTGATAGAAAAGAGGCAGAGATAATTAGTTACCAGTGTTCATTCACTCCTCAGTGTTTCCTCTGCCTGCATCTATTTCTTTGATCTCTCTCTGCCTCTTACCATCTCCCCCTCTCTATGTCTCTATTTCTCCTCTCCTCTCTTTCTCTCATTCTATTTTTATGTTACCATCTTTAGTCTATGACCTCAATGGTATTTAAATATTTTATGCCAATTTTTGCTAAATGATATTTTCTGCCTCTATTTGCATTGGTTCATTCCATCCGTCTTTTAAAGTTTGTTTTTATGAGCATAATTAATTTTATTTAGCAATAACCTTCATAATGAAATATTCATATGCATGCATAATATATTTTTATGCTTGTTTTGAAAATATTTCTTAATTTTTGAAATTGAATTATATCATTTAATGTATTTATATCATTTAATGTTTTTAAAAAATTGTTACATATATTTATAGATGTATACTATTAACAATATTAATGCTATTATTCTTTCTTCCCCCCAACTACCACTAATCACACTCATTTTTCTAATTGGTCTTCTCTATACTTTCACTTTTTTCCAATTGTTTTACAAGTAAATGGGTTCAAGTAGAGTTACTCATGATTTTGTTTTAATTAGCATACCGAGTAACAGTCTTCATTATATAATCCTCATACAGCTCCTTTTGTTCATTTTCTTCCCTCTTCCCTCCCTTGTACAGCATTGCTGATCTCTTTATTCCCCTCATTTCCTCCTCCATGTCACATGTCTTTCATTTCTTTCCCACCCCTTTCTATTAAATTTTTCTTCTTGGTCACTTGCTAATTTCATGACCTATAACTTTGACATCCTATGTATAATAAAAATCTAGAATCTAATGTCATTCTGTTTTTCATTCTTGTGTCTGTTTACATATCTGTGTTAATTAATCTCTCTTTTCAAAGTACATAATACTTCATAAAATTCTATATTTCTTATGAACATTG